TTGGTTTGGATGATTTGGTTTCACATATTCTGAAGCATGCTGTTCATGTGAAAGTGTTTAGACCTGAATAATAATGATGATAAATAATAATAATAATTTAGTATTCTTATGGAAAGTGCTCACAGGATGTGCTTTATTTTGAAATACAAGGAAGTGCCCTACTCTGTCTCTAGCTTTAGTGATGCCTGCTGCTTGCAGCTGTGTGGTGTCATCCTGGATGAACAGCTGTACTTCCTGTGCAGCAGCTTCATGCTCTGGACTGAACCCAAACAGCATCTATTATAATTTTGACATAATGATTACTTTTTAAAAATGTCGTTATTATTATTAAAATCAGAAGAAATAAGTTAATCTTTCGTTTTCATAACTTTAGGAAACAAAGAGATTTTTTTATTTGAATCATAGTTTCCTAATCCTCTGATATTGCTGAGCCTTTTGTCTTTATTTATGTTTTTGAAGTGCTGAATTTGTCCTGTGTTTGGTTTCATGTCCTTGTGCTCTTTGTAGTAGTTTTACTTCCCCGTTGTTCCTCCCTCATCTCTGAGCTCGTCTCTGCTGTCGTGTCTGTGAGGCTCGTCTCTGTTTTACTTTGAAGTTTAGCGTCATGTTTTTTATTTCTAGGTTGTTGGTTTACTTTCTGTCTTCTTCCCTCTACATGTCTCAGCCCACCCCTGACTGTTTCTACCTGTGTCAGTTACACTCAGCTGTACCTCCTTCCTCACCCTCCGCGTGTACATCCACCAGCCACTGTATTAAGTAAACCCTGCTGATACTGGCTTGGACACTCGTCTGCTTTCAGAACTTCTTTAACTGGCACAGATTAAACAAACGTCCTTTGTGTTGCGTGTTCAGAGATGCTCTGTTACCGCGCTTGTAACGAGTGATCATTTGAGTAGCTGCCTGGTCTCTCCTCTGGCCTCTGCCATCAACAAGCCATTTCAGCCAGATTATGTCTACATGCCTCAACACGCCGAGATGCTGCCATGTGATTGGCTGATTAGATATTTGTGTGAACAATTGAGCAGGTATTCCTAATAAAGTGTCTTTTGTCAGTTTCCCTGTGCTACCCTGTGTGTTCACCTGTGTTTCTTGATTAGCTTAACATTTTCCACTTTGCTTACTGCCTAAATAAACATTCATCTTTGACTGGATGTCAGCCAGTGTATACTTCAAAGACTCTTATTGTGAAAGGCAGAGTAGGAAGAAGCCTTTCTCACACGTGTAGGAGAGTTTGGATCTCCTCATCAAAACAACATTGCAACAGTGATGATGTCAGCAGTCTGCACTAACAGGGCATTAAAATCCAAAAGATCATCGATGTAAAATATTTGGTTTTTACACTTTCAGAGGAAAATGAGTGAAAAGAAGAAACGGCAGCAGGAGACGGGACAGAATCCACGAGTGTGTGAAACTGTGGTCTGTAAATGACAAATATTTGATGGAGGGGTCGTTACTGGCACAGAGCGGGACACAGACACACATAAGCATGCCAAACAGCATGCCCCCTCCAGCAGACTGCTGAGTGGACATCTGTCCTTTTGTACTGCAGTCTGCTGGGCTGACACACACACACACACACACACACACACACACACACACACACACACTGGATGAGGACATATGGCACAGATAGCTGGCTGATTCTCTCACATGTCCATTGCATCAGTTAGTGTCAGTAAATCA